ATATGTTCTCTGTTTGGAAGGACAGGATAGCAATATTTGTGGGTTCTGCCGTAAGACTGAACAGCTAACTGAAGCTGTCCAGTCAGGTTAGCCCGATGATGCATCTCCAACTACTCATCATGTCCCACACCTCTCCCACAACAGCCTCCTGGCCCACAGGTGTCACATCAAGAGGACAATGAAGCAAAGCATCCCCAGAGAGATCAACTGCAGCCGCGAATTCTCTTCCAAGACCACCTCCATGTGCCACCAAGGTGGCCTCTGCAGCATGGCAATAAGAGCCATGCCATTAAAGGCAAGTTTCCGTTTTATGCGCTCAAGCTTTCTATGGCAGGATCCCACGATTCCCCAGGAAACCTGATTTACCATCCCATCGCCCTGTTTTTATAGGGCTTGACTCTGCAAATGGAACTGATGGAGACCTCAACCGCGAGTCACTGAGTCCTCCGGTATAATTGCAGATTTACAATGCCTACAAAATCATTCTGTCATACTTGTGTCTTCTCAATGTCCCCCAGGAAGGGACTCCCTAAGGCTTAAGCTCCATTTGCTGCTCCTCCCCCCTCCCACCACCCCCTCACCCCATCCCCAGCCAAAAAAAGATTTTCCTCCTGTGCGCCCACTTTCCCTTATCCCAGAGTTCAGACTCCAGGAAGCCCTGTAAGGATCCAATGACTGCTAGTGAGGACAAGGCAGTCACATGTAGAAAAGCTCACTTGTGGGGTGGCTGACAAGGTATTATGGGGAGAGGTGGGACGGGAAAAGAGAGAAAAGAGAAAGCGTACTCTGAGGTATGTGGGTGAGACTTTTCACAGCTAATCACACACAAGACTGATTCACTACTCACTCTGCTCTGCTCACTCATTTTTCATATCATACTTTTCACTGCCCCATCAGCCTGTTCCACCAAGGTCAAATGAAGGGAATGATACCATGTACACCACACTGAGATTTATTATAAATGGAGTCACTCACCTTTTGTGTGGAGCAAATGGGCTCCTGAAATCACCATTTATGAACATGGACCTGAGCAACAGTCATGTGGGGAGATAGCAGGAGAGGGAGACTTCGTCCAAATGTCACTGTGGAACTCCCATGGTCTCCTTTCCCAAGCACAAAACACAGACTGAGGCCATCCAGTAGCTTGAACTTAAGCATATGCAAGACTTTTAATCAATGTCACGGTTGAGGTTATGCCTTTGTCCTTTTTTTTTTTTTTTTTTTTTTTTTTAAACTTATGGTATGGTTTTTTTTTAAAAAAAATATCGGGTGTTGTTTTTTTTTTTTTTTTTTTTTTTTTTTTTTTTTTTTTTTACAGAGTTGGAGAGGGTCTTTCAGACAAGGTAACATTAGAGCAGATCTTTTGTTTTCTAATTTTTTTTAATGTTTGTTTATTTTCCAGAGAGAAAGACATAGTGTGAGTTGGGGAGGGGCAGACAGAGGGGGGACACAGAATCCAAACCAGGCTCCGAGCTGTCAACACAGAGCCTGATGCAGAGCTCAAACTCACCAACCATGAGATCAGGACCTGAGCCAAAGTTGGCCGCTTAATTGACTGAGCCCCACATTTGAGCAGATCTTAAATGAAATGCATCAGAGGAACAGAACACTGTTCCATGATTCTTATACTCTCTAGGATGCTTTAGGTTGCAAGTAACAGAATATGCAACTAAAAGTTACTTAAACATAGGGCTTTATTATATAACAATGAAAGAAGTCCAAAGGTAAGATGCTCTCCAGGGTTAATTCATCAGTTCATGATATCACCAAGAACCCAAATACCTCCATCTTTCTGCTCTGCCACCTTCAATTCAAAACCTCCACTCAGGGATGCAAGATGGCTGCTATAGCCATCAGAGGTAGATGCAACCACACCCAGAAAATGTTCTCTCTTTTTTACAGAGGAAAACTTTCCCAGAAATCTCCACCATATAGCAGATTATACCTGATGATCACTGACCATAAAAGGATCACGTGCCTGTGCCCAAACTAATCACAGGAGACTGGGGAGGAAGTACTTTCCATAATTCATTGACATGAAGGTCCTTCAGTGATATGAAGGGTTAATTACATGAATGGGGATGTGAGCACAAACACAAGGGAGAACTGAGGTGTTATTGGGAAAGCCACCAATGTGTCTGCCACAGAATAGGTTCCATATCTACCTCAGGATTTGGTACTCACATTTTCCCTACTTTTCCCAATATCCCCATGGCATCCTTCCTCACATCTCTGAGGTCTCTGCTGAAATATTAGGTTATGCAAGAGACCTCCTCTGACCACTCCATCTCAAAGAGCTGTCTGCTTACACTCATCATTCCCTAGTCTCTATGTTCGTCTTCTCCATACTTATGGAGAAGTATACACACACATATGCTCCACACACCATATGTGTGTATGTATTTGTTTACCATCAGTCTTCCCCCTGTAAAATATAAGCTCCTTGAGGCACATAATACACTCAAATATTTGTGGAATTAATGAATAAAGAAATGGAATTCACTGGTGTGCCTCACTCTTCGTCCTAATTCTCCACCATGTTTGCCATGCCAGCAAACAGTTCTCCTTGCTCTTCCCTATTTTCCTGCCCCCAGCTTTTTGCTCACACTATCCCCCTCCTGCAATGGTCTCTGTTTCCTCTTCTTCTTTAAACACTGTCTTTAAGAGCCAGCTCAAATTCCACTTCTTTCATAATGCCTGTCATGATGATTCAAACCCCACATGATCTCTCAAGAGTACTTTCAATTTGTAAAGCTCATATTACTCCTTTCATAGTGTTTTCCTTGAACCCAAAACTGGAGCTGTAAGTACCCACAGATCTGGACTCACTCAAGGTCTATGCTATTCTTGTAACTGAGCAAACGGGAGTCCCAGAATTGTTTCGACCTGCCCAGGAATGGACCAGAACATGTAAGTGGGATGGACATCCCTGTTTGATAATTAACCAGTACAAAAATTTGTAGAATATTCTCCAGATAGCAATTTTTGATATTTGCTACATGAGTGGGTGTTTGGGGAAAATGAACAGCAAAAGAATACATAAGGGTAATTCTGTGCTAATAAGCACAAACAGATCACTCTGTCGGACCCAAAAACAAGGAAGGAGGTTTCACTGAATGAGAGAAAGCCTCATTATTTCAGGAGTCTAAGTTCACTGATGGAACAGAGCATGATAGTAGGGATGCCAATAAAAGGAAATATAAAACATTAGGGAATAGAGAATTGTGAAAGATGTCAGTCACTTCACATTTTTAAGCCTTAATACCCTCATCTATAAGAATAGAATTAGACTAGATCAATTATCTAGCAGGACTTGCTTTAAAAAAAACAAAAAACCTGACATCGAACCCAAAAAGGGTAACTGCCCTGGTTATAGAAGGTGCTGCTGAAATCCTCACCCTGCAAGCCTCCTACTTATCCCCAACAATGGTACCTTCACTACTGGATGGCGTAATCTTTGGGGATGTCTTCTAGCATTGAGATAGGATAGTTCTAAAATAGATGATCATAACACTAATAGTACTTAGAATACTACAAGACTGCAGTGACTTAAAAAACAATTTATGCTAAGGCTCCAGGAAGAAGTTATTAATGTGGGGCAAATGCTGGTCTTCCAAAGCCATGATAAATCAAGTGTTCATAAACCAGCAATGGGAAGATGGATGAATGGATGGGAGTGAAGGAAGAAAGGCAATTTAACTCTCATTACTTGTAAAAAGAATAATCAAATTATCATTAATTGCCAATTAGACCAAAGTTTACCGCAGTTTTAATTCTATAGAAAACAAGGTTAAGTAGCCTATATGCCTAAACAACAAGACTGGTAAAGAAAACTGGACCAAATACCTTGGGCAGCCACTAGCCACCATGTTTCAGATAAATTATTGAGGATATGAGAATATGTTAAAAATATATATTGATACATACGAAAGTTGCAAAGAAGATTAGGGAATGATCATAGTCTCTAAAATGTAATGTGTATGTGCTTTTTATCTAAAAAGACTGAAAGATATATAACAAAATATTAACAGTGGTAACTTCTGGGGGGATTTTCTAGTTTTGTTTTGTTTTGTTTTTACAAACTTTCTATGGTAAACATGTTTTGTTTATAATAAGAAAAGGGTTGAAATAAATTACAACTATAAAATAAAACTGAGTGAGCATTCTTTTGTTTATTACACATCCGACTTTTAAGTTCAAAAGTCTGAGAGATTTAGAGTGATATACCAGAACTATCCAGATTGACCCCAACAGAACACAGAAGGGGAAAGGTATCATCTCTCTGGACCACCTGTCAGAGTCCTAAGCATGGATCTCATCAAGTCCCCCTCCTGCATCAGAATCTCTAAGGAGATGGGCCTAAGACACCTGTATTCTGCCTCTGGGAAGCACAGGTGAAGCAATTGTTATTAGATGTGCTGGTATATTGGCTATGACAAATAAGGGCAAAAAGAAACCAGATCTTAATCTGCCTCCACAAATCAGGGGTCAACATGTGAGGAAAGTTACCATCCTTTTCCCAAAAGTCTCCAAGATCACCTCAGAGACTACAGGTTTTCACACTACAAAAGGACCAGAACTCTAAGCAACCTGTTACATGGATCTGTAATTCTGAGCCATGTGTGAGCCAGCTTTAGCAAACTTAATTTATCACTTGCCAAATTTTTCAACCTTTGAAAAGTTACTCAATACCAGAATTAATGTATAATACCCAAGTGGTTGGCCAGCTCTGAACCCATGTTATCCCAAAACGATGCCGGATGTACACGGGAGGATGGCACGGCTTCCAGGCTGCCACAGACTCATCTGCACAAAGAAGGTGGGTGTCGGGGCACCTGGGTGGCTCAGTCAGTTAAAGCGTCCGACTTCGGCTCAGGTCGTGATCTCGTGGTCTGTGAGTTCAAGCCCCGCCTCAGGCTCTGTGCGGACAGCTCAGAGCCTGGAGCCTGTTTCAGATTCTGTGTCTCCCTCTCTCTGACCCTCCCCTGTTCATGCTCTCTGTCTCAAAAATAAACAAACGTTAAAAAAATTTTTTTAATAAAAATTTTTAAAAAAGGTGGATGTGAGCATGAGGTCAAATCCACTTTTTCAACATCAACAGAGTGACAGATAATCCATGCCATACCTAAAAATATGTCTCATGGATCTCCATGCAATAGACAATTTACTAATTTCAGTTTTTGTTTTTGTTTTTTATTTTTTGTTTTTAACTCTCATTCATCATTTCTAGCAAGTCAACAGTCCTTCTCCCAAGACCCTGTTTTAATTGTGAAGGCAGCTGATACTGCACTCTGGGCCAAAATTTCTTAGAACCGTGTTGCTACTTCAGACATTTGGTTCTAGGCAGAAACTGAGGAAATAGGTATACTCTGGAGGTATGTCACAAGAAAGATATCGGTCTCAAAACCGGGTGTGTGCTCATGTAAACCAGCACCCGTAAGGGGGAAAAAATCTTTTTGTAATATAGAGGGGAAAAAAAAGCAGAGACTCTGTCTTTCCGGGCCATTTCTTTGAGGGGAAAGGGAGGAAGGGGTGTGGAGGGGAAGAAGGAAAAAACAAACTTTATTTTTGGACGGAAAATGAGTAAAGGATGTATTAGACCCATCAACATCAACTCTGAAATACAAAGTTTCCTTCAGTGTATTCCAAAATGAACAAGAGATTTTCCAAGCTTCCTAAGATCCTGGGTTCCTTGAAAGTACCAAAAACACAATGGCTCATTTTGGAACCATCACTCCTAAGGCTGGACAGAATTAAATTAGGGATAATTTTTACTTTTCCAACAAGGTGTGTGGCGGGCTGTTTATGTTTCTCTTTTAGAATTTTAATAACACTAATTCTTATCGAAGAGTCCTAAATCAACCTGTCTCAGAAAATCACTTTCTTTATTCATACAATGAAACAAAATCCTAAATATACCTTTGAGAACGGTACTCAATTATAATAATTTGATTTACCTTCTATTGCTTCATACAATCACTGATTATTTAAAAAAAAAAAAACTCAAAAAGCTTTTGGACCATACTCTTCTTTTCTGAAATAACTGTTCTGTAAATAGTAAACCTATTATAGCATAGGCAGTACTATACCTTTTCCTCAGGGGGGAAAATCAGATTCACCTTTTTTCTGTCCCAATTATTTTCTTTTTTTTTAATTTAATTGTAATAACACTTAACATGAGATCTTCTCTCTTAAATTCTTTCTCTACCTAATATATTCAAGTTTGAGTTAGAGCATACTTTCTACCTTAAAGTAAAATGTTACAAGCATTAAACATTGAGTCACTCATTAACATATAAGGACTGGACAAAGGTAGAAAGACATTTAAGTTTTTCCTGCACAAAGGAGGCATGTGTTATCATGGCTATCACACTCCTTCATAAAGCAACAATAGATCTCCTTCCAGAAACATCATTTTCAAAAGGAGCAGGTAAATATTATTATTTACTACACTAAGGCAACAATAACTGATTAAAGCAAATTTAGTGGAAACATTAAAAGAATGGCAAGGGAAGAAAATTTATTCTGCAGCAACACTGTGTGAACTTATTGGAAATAATCAGCCGCTCAGTTTGAATTAAATGAGAGTGAATGTAGTCGGGGCGGGGGGGGGGCGGGGAGGAGGGTAGAGGGAGGTTGAAAGAGAAAGCCTGGCACACACTAGCTGGAATCTGCTAGTTTCCCTCTGCCCTGGCGGCTAGGAAAATCTGCAAAGATGCAAACAATCCTTGGGTGTTCAGTTAGCAGTGAGTAAATTGCTGTGGGATCTAAGGGCAGGCATACTTTAGCAGGCAATTCCTCTCTGTCTTTCATTCTGTTTGTCTGTGTTAAATTCCCCCTCTGCCCTCATCCATTCTCACATCCAGTTCCCTGCTTTGTCCATCCATCAATCCCCTCACTTTGTCAGTGCTGACTTCATCCCAGCTCTCACAGTCGTGTTGCAGCCATCCCGAGGCCGCGGGGGAGCCCCCGCCTGCCGCAGCCTCCCTGCTTCCCGATCTGCTGACAGAGGACCCAGTCAGACGCTTGTCGTTTTCTATTGCACAGGCCAGCAAAAACACTAATACTCAACCTGATTCCTATCGTCCTGCTTTTCACCTTCTCTATTGAAGAGAATGGAAGAGAGAAAGACACAAGGAAAGAGAAATGCAGGGGGAGTGGGGGCGGAAAGAAATAGGGTGGCAGGGGTTGGTGGGTAATGGAGAGAGATGTTTGCTGAATTTTCTAGAACAATTTGCACACCAGTCAGGTGGAGGCTCAATCCAGCTTCCAGTACCACACATCAATAGAAATCACAGGGAGAAAATGTAGCACTAATTAAGGGTTGATAAGCTGTAGTCAAGTGCAGTTTAGGAGAATAAAAACCCAGCAGACTACCCAGGCCTGTGTAAGCCCAACCCTACACCGCACTTTCATCGCCAGCTTAGGGAGGGAAATTTTGCAGCGTTTTTTTAGTTTTACCTTCAAAATCAAACAGATAGGCTGGGAGAAAAATATATTAGATGATTGTTCTTATTCAAAAGATCATTTGCAAAACATTTCGAAGGGGGGGGGTGCTTACTGAAGAGGAAAATAGTTACCTAGCAACAAAACTATTTTAAAACATTCTTCAGTGTACTTGCCCAATTGTGTGCTCTTAATTCAAAGATGTAGAATTCTGAGCACCTGCCGAATTATTAGAATACTTTCCCCTGAATTCTCAACTCCTCTTTTTTCCCCCCAGAAAGAGGGCAAACTTCACAGTAAGCCATAATCGGAATGAGAAAAACTTTTCAATGTTACACATTTCTTTAAATTTTACTCTTAGAGTGGAAGGCAGAATTTCACTTGAAATATGAGCAATTAAATTAGTAAAACTATTTATACAACGGTGCTTAAAATGACTTTAAAATAAAGGAGCTCAGTGGGGTAGGTTTTTCTGTAATTACTGGTAATTGCAACTAGCATTTTCAAGGTCTTACTACCTACAAGGCATTTTCATATACGTTATCCTCACCACCAAACCACTCTCCAGGGATTGGTCCTGCTTTTTGGAATGTAGAAAGCAGAAACCCAGCCATTCAACAACTTTCCCCAAATCATAATCATTCCCCACTGCCAAGTAAGGACCATCAGGATTCAAAAATGGCTGTTAGAATTCCAACTCTTTGCCCAAGAGATGGGCACATCCAGTTACCTAGCCCCAAAGCTTCTTTGTAATTAAAGAAAACCTGAAAGATCCTCTGGGATAAAAATGACTTAACCTGTTTCTCTATCCAAAGCATGACCACAAAATATTGAGAGGGGTGTTGTAGTACAGCACCCCCAATTCTTATTCAGGGAGATTATTTGGTTTTGTATTGAATGCAACAAACAACTTGTGCAAACAAACCAAGAGAAGTTTCCAGAAGGCCACTAGTGATTCGGGAATAAATGTGTTGCCTTTCAAGGCACAGACACTGAAGAGCTAAGTACTCGCTTGGATGATTAAGTTTTGGTGTGTGTTAGGAAATGAGTAGCAGCATCCTGTGGCCACCACACCTCATACCAAGAAGGATTTGGGAAGCAAATGGCAAATTATTCACCAGGGCTGTACAAGCACAGAATGAAGAGAAAAGAGGACTGGAAAGCCAGCAAGGCCTCCCTGGTTTCCAGTCTCAACTCAACACTACTGTCACACATCTAATCCAGAACCTTCACCCACAGCTAGTTCCTCATTCCTTTTGTTTTCTCAAACCCACATGCCCAGATGGGCTTTGGCTGTGACACAAGAGGCCAGGGGAAGGGGAGAAGAAAAGGCAGCGGCACAAAGTCTCCTCTGCGTTGCTACTATACACATCAGACATCTCTAATTAGACAGCAACAAAATTTTATTAATAGGATGGACATTATAGAATGAGCTTGTTATAAATGGGCCCTGTCAGGGCCTTATTCAGCTACCAAATGAGTATTCTCAGTTCAGTGCTCTCATCTGAGGCATCACGCCTAGTGCTGGATAACAAATGATTGCTATTAACCGTATTGTTAGTAATGATGGCTGAAAACAAACAAAAACCCATAAATAACAGTCTACAGAAAAATTAACCCATAAACTTGATAGATATCCAGCTGAGAAATAATAAATGACACTTTGGGGCCTGCTGGGAGAAGCTAGTGGTTTTTGTTTTCCTCTCTGTCATTAACACATTTTCTGTGCTAAAAATTAGATTCTGATATATAATTATCAACGCTCCCAGATATTAATTCTGCTATTGCTCCCTCGGTTTCTCTTCTGGCTGGGCTATAATGTTATTCACAGATTACTCTGAGAAAACACATCAAACACTTAACAGAACAGGTCAAAGTGACAAGCGGCTTCTACTGACAACATCAACCTGCACCGTCTTTTTAACCAGGGACACAAAACAAATTTCTCATATTAATTAACTAGGGTTTCCTTCCAGCCACAACAGGCCTGTACAATGTGATGTGAGCTAAGCAAAGTCCCCACTTCTCTAATGAAGGCGGCCAAGGGAAGCGAGGAGTGACAAAATTATCTTGCATTTATGGCATTCAAATCCACATTCATTAATGTCTTTTAGGGAGGAGACAGGGTTCAAAACAACTTTCCAACAGCAGAGCATCTCTCACCTTGAGCCCCTTCCTCTCACAGGGGCAAGCACAAGGACACGTAAATGAGCACGTAAGCAAGAGACCTTCCCCTAAAGGAGCCAGAATTTCAGCCACGGTATGCGAACTAGCACTGTCACTGAAAAGGACGTCAACTTCCCAAATGCCATGACTTCCACACAATTAATTCACCTTGACCAGAATACGATCTCACCTATCAGTGGCTCGTATGTGCCAGGAACTACCAAATGAAGTGAAATTCACCAGGCTCCTCCATAGACTGGCCCATATCCTGTCAACAGACAACACACCTCAACACACACACACACACACACACACACACACACACACACACATCACTCTCATGCACATATGTCAAGTCCTTATCACCAGTATGGGCATTACAATGCCATCTATTCTATGAATTTCTTCTGTTGTCTCTCTGACAATTTAATTTCAGGGAAAATAACTGGGGTGGCAGGGGGGGAGGGAGGGAATTTATTTTAAATAAAAAATATGAAGCTACCCAAGCTAGAGAATATATATATAATTGTTCCGTTTGGTTAAAATTAAGATGATGAAATTTGGTAAGACTAAAATGAGGTGGGGGGTGGGGCTCATGAAAATAGGTCAGTACAAGGAAGTGAATAAATCAGCAGGTATACCCTCCATTTCCCAAGCCTATCCTCCTACTGGGTGGGGGGGGGGGGGGGGGGGGAAGAAGAGGCCACAACTTCCTAGTCCTAAACAAATGCCTTCAAACACAAGCTCTTTTATCAGTTGGGGAACAAAACATCATAACGGGAAAATTGTTTAAAATTAGGCAATATGGCTGAGTCTCGAAAACGCAGAAGCAAAAACCAAGGGAGAGCAAGGATTAATGCAAGCAGCAGAGAAGAGAACATAGGTAAAAATCAAGAGAACTGAAGCTGCCATGTGAAAAGCTGGGGGTGAGGCGTTTTAACCCACAAGTTAGAAAACCTTGGCAGTCCCCAGCAGTGGTGGGATGTTCCCTTCTTCCTTTCAAGCTCCATCAAGGAACCTGGGCTGGCCACGATCTAAATACTATTTTTGAGATGGGATTTTTTAAAAATAAGCAAACTATCTCCCGTCTCCCATACCTTGTTGTTAACCCCCGCACCTCATCCCTCTGATCATGCTGCCTTGATGATAAGAGCCTACACTGCAAATCCCTCACCCTCCATGCACTCCATTTTCTCAGTATCTGGCATTGCGATATTAAATAACTATAAAACTAGAAAGCCAAAATAACTAAATCACCTGGCAGCCAATTTCTGAGAGTTAAACCACAAACCCGGAAAATGGTGGAGTGTGTTGAAATAATGTAAAGGAAACCCATAAATTCAAACTTTATGTTCTGTAAAGAACAAATATGAAAAAGGCATCAAAATAATGAAAGATTGTTTATGTATTCTGGCATGAAATGGGAATGTGTTATGAGAGAGAGAGCAGTGGTGGAGACAGATCGACGAAGCTGACAGTGTGGTATTCATCCTGCACGGTGGAGCAGACGCCCCGCTAGTGGCAGTAGACAGCGCAATAAATCAAGGGCTCTCGAAGCTGTACCTACAGCTTATTACATCCAAGATGACAAATAAATAATAATCCCTGTCAGAGCGGCCCTTTGCTCAAGGATTGAGCCTGAAACCTTTGGCTCATCACTTCTCATCTTAAGTGAAAACACTAGAACTAGGGAATTGGAGGCCACGGTTTGCTAAGCTCATGAAACACAAAACAAGCAGGACCCGGGAACTAGGACTGAACAAGAAAGGTCAAGAAGGAAGGAAGGATAAACATTTAAATAATCCTGACCGAGAGGGGGGAAAGCAGCAGAGTGAATGTGGGTTAACATGTCCTAATCATCAGGGGGTGAAAAAACACCCAACACCGATTCCTTGTCCCCACCCCTAACAGGAAGAAATTCTAGGCTTCATTTGAAACGTAGTACCAGCAGCAAAGAGGCAGGGTCCTAGAGGCTCCAGGCTACAAACACCAGTGGCCAACACCCTCCCAACTTCTCACCACCCCATTTGCCCTCCTGCCTTACTTAAAAGCGAACCAAGAGGTAGAAAACCATCCACCCCATGTAATAATCCCAGCTTCCTCACAGCATCAAAGGAGAGGCGACTGCTGTCCAGGGCCAAGGCAAGAGGAAGACTGAATCACACAGCCATTCCTGCTTCCCAGCCTGCTGGCTTGGTCACCTCCTCTCCTGTCCATCACTCACTGGCTCCGCAGTGCAGGGCGGCCAGAACCCTGCCACCAAATCTGCCAGGTATCTGTAGGTATTATGACTTTGAACTTGTCTCTTTGAGCATTCCTGTTTTCCTACTCTTCCTGACTGGGTAGCTGGAAGGCTTTCTCTGAGAGACCTGAACAGTTCTTTCAGACCATCCCTCTGTCTGGGTGGGCTCTACACCTACAGTTCCCAAAATGGCTTTTCTAAGCAAGGCCATGTCTTCTCCCTGACACATCCCCATTCCTTCACTGTCTTCAGGAAAGCACAGAGGGAACACAGTAAAATCTGATAGGGCAAAAAGGGTTTGGGCTCCGGCTTCCCCAGAACCACACCACCGCCCCCACCTCCCACCCCCATCACCGACACACACATACACACTCCATCTTTTTTTTTTTAATTTTTTTTTCAACGTTTATTTATTTTTGGGACAGAGAGAGACAGAGCATGAACGGGGGAGGGGCAGAGAGAGAGGGAGACACAGAATCGGAAACAGGCTCCAGGCTCTGAGCCATCCGCCCAGAGCCTGACGCAGGGCTCGAACTCACGGACCGCGAGATCGTGACCTGGCTGAAGTCAGAGGCTTAACCGACTGCGCCACCCAGGCGCCCCCACACTCCATCTTAACCCCTGAATATGCTGCCAGCTCCATTTAGCCAATACACCTCTAGGCATTAAAACAAAATCATGTTTTGTCACTTGAGAGAAGGGCACAAACATGGCTCTGCCAAAGGGTATAGTAATCGTTACAAAAATGTAGGTCCCAATGGCTAAAATAAATTTCTGAGATTACAAAGGGAAAAGGACCACCATTTTATGTTCATCTTAGAGGACAGTGTGGTGCCACTAATGCTTCACCTACCCACTCTTCTTTAAGACAAAGACTACATGGCAGAGTGGAGCAAGCACCAGCTTTGGTCAGGTGGACTTGAGTTCAAATTCTAACTCTGCACAAGTTGGAAGACCTCAGGCAGATCACTGGACCTTGCTAAGTTTCAGTTTCCTCATCTGGGGGGGGGGAGCTACTGCTACTAATATTCAACCCACAGGATTGCTTTGAGATTCAATGAGATCAGCATGCTTGATAGTGCCTAACATATTCTGGATGCCCAACAGATGTCAGTCCTTATCCCAGTCTGACTTTTCCTAATTTTCTGCCATCTACTACAGCAGAATTTTGAATATGGTATTATCTACATGACTTTAGATCCTCTTCAAAATATCCAAAATTCTCTACAGAAACACAAGCTTCTTATAAAAATAATTTTAATCTAAAGCATATACATAGCAAAGAACTTGGACAAAATTTATCTAAGGTTTTTAAGAGATTTGGGGCTAAAAGTAGGTAGGTGATGCAATAAAGTGCAATCACTTCAACCCAATAAGGACTCTATTCCTAAGAAAATAAACAAAATTACCAAAAATTCATATGCACAAAGACATACATTATACTGTTATTATGGCAAAAAAAAAATATGAGGACAAACTAATCAGCCCATAGTAAGATTTAACAATGTTTAAAATTATTTTTTAAGTTATGGAATGTTTATTTGATGAAATAATATACAGTCATCAAAAATGATGATCATAAGACAACAAAGCAAGGTGCCTGGGTCCTCAGTTGGTTAAGCATCCCACTTTGGTTCGGGTCATGATCTCACGGTTTGAGAGTTCAAGCCCCACCTCAGGCTCTGTGCTGACAGCTTTGAACCTAGAGCCTGCTTCAGATTCTGTGTCTCTTTTCCCTCTGCCCCTCCCCTGCTCACACTCTTTTTCTCAAAAATAAACATTAAAAAAAAAAATTTAAGACCACAAAGCAACATGGCAAAATGCATATTATTTAATGTAACATGAAAAAAGCCAAACATAAAACTGACACTTCACTCTCATTTCAACTATGCTGTTTTATGCCTCTGGAAGTAGACAATATAGCACACATAATAACAGTTGGGCTGATGGGGCAGAAGTAGACCATTGTTTTTACTCTTCCATTTTTTTTTCAAATTTTTCATGATTATGTTTGATAACACTTTTTAAATTTTAAAACAATTTTAGGGGCACCTGGGTGGCTCAGTTACGCGTCCAACTCTTAGTTTCGGCTCAGATCTCAGAGTGGGATCGAGCTCTGCATCAGGCTCCACACTATCAGCTTGGGGATTCCTGCTTGGGATTCTCTCTCCGCCCCCCTCTCTCTCTCAAAATAAAAAATCATTTTTAAAATCTCAAAAGTCAAGAAGTTAAATGAATTAAAAATTGGAAATCTGGGAACAAAACCTATAGCCACCAAGATTTTTTAGGCTCCCACTGCTTCCTGTCATCCAAGATACCCCTGTGGGGACCTCTAGTGAGCTGGCGGGCAAAGATGGAACCAAAGTCTTTTTGAAACGTTGCCCTCCTGGGCCAACTTGCCCATGTGCCTTTTCCAGCTATCCCCTCACATGGTGCAACCTGCTCTTCCAGCCATTACTTTACCATCACACATGCATACTTTCAGCCTCATTGGTGGAGTCATTCAGCCACTCCCTTTCAATAAAAAAACTTCAGTCTTCAAAGTTTGAAGCCCCTTGTAAGATTTTACTTGCTACCATCCATTGAATGTCCCAAAGAACCATTTCAAAAGCGAGCTGTTGACAACAGTTGGAAATCAGACAAGGAGGTGAAATGAAAAAAATCAAGAAAAAGCTGTCCTCTAACTATCCCAATCCCTGAACCCCTTTCCTTGGCCAGCATACAATTTCTGGTCCTTGGATCTCCCTCCTTTCTGTTTCTTACTCTCTGGACTAAGTGGGGGCAACTCTCAAGTTGGAGATTAATACCCTAACTTTCCATAAACATTCCAACTCAGACAACTTGCTGATACTTTGTAGATTGGGGCTTTGTTATCAGAATACAGCTGGAGACCCTGACCTTTCATGAAAACAAGGAAACAAGAAAATAACACTGGGGGTCTTGTTCTGTGTTAAGTCCTTCAATAGACAGCTTAACTCAGCAGCAACAAATTCATGAGATGACTGGACTTTTCACAGCAGCTCTCCTTCTGTCATCTAGGTAAAGACATTCTCTTTAGGCTGCATATCTATGTAGTCTAGGTACAGAAACACTTTACTTGTGGCAGTTTGAATTTCAGGTCCTAATTTATTCTCCATGTATTCACCTCCATTTCTTTTTCACTGCTCCCTTGAAAACACACCAGGTCCAATCAACCAGTTTAGTTTACAGTTCCTTAGCTTTCTGTGTTAAAGATAAGGAACCTGTTCATGGAAGGAAGTTCCTGTCAGGGCCGAGAACCAGCACTCAGGCTGCTGGTCTTTCCACCACACCATGCTGGTCCTGATTACTTGGTGTCCATACAGCAGAAAAGTTAACACCCTCCCAATATCTTGTAGGAAAGTGTGAAATGCAGTCCTAGATGACCTACATGAGACAAAGATTCTCTCCTGAAAAAAACTATCACTATCACTCCCTAAATTGACGCTCATCCCATGGTCAACAAATGGTGACCACGAACCTCTGGGGATAGGGGGAGGGCAATACTGCATGATACCAAATTCTTAAAGCATGCCATGGTCCAAGATTAATTTTTTTAAACATGTAATTTGAAATATGTTTGGGTTCAATGGTTTAAAATGAGTTAACTTAACAAAAGACAAGTAAATAATGTAATCATTTCATACAATATTACTGTCTAAAGGTTTTTAAACATAAACATGGCAATTCTGCTAATACATATTACATACATTTGCAACAATACAAGGAAGCTGAAAGGTGGTTATTGTTGAGCTGAAAAAGTCCCAGAATCCCACTAAGAAAATAATGTGAGACAATAATGCATATTTCAGGTACACACTATAACTGACTTAAATTATTATGGATGTACTTCATACTTAATTACCTTTCTAAAATATGTCGGGGTATTTTGTCATAAACTCTACAGAGTCTGCTGTACCTCTACTAAACACTGCTCTGAAATGCAAACCCTTCGCTAATGTTTTTATTTGAATAACTTATTACCCAATATAGCAAGCATCAACACATTTTATAGAACCAGAACTTGGCTCTCTGAAATTCCTCCTACCCTAATGCCAGTCACTGTTGGGAGCATTTAGTTATAAATTGTCTTTCAATAAAAGTAAAAGCTCCCAAAACAACAAAATGAAAAGACACAGCAGCTTAAATCAAGGGAAGTCAATTTCCACATGCCGATCCTAAATATTTCATGGCCCTATTTTATTCTGACATTTGTAGATGACTAAAGTGTTACAAAGGAAATAAAATGCTGATTAAAGAGTTCACTGTCATAAAGGTTACTGAATTGTAAATGGCCCTTTCCATCTTCCTGTTAATAGGTACCCAGCTGTAAACATCATGAAGGATGTGACGGGAGGGCGGCTTCCCTCCTTTAGGAGCTGTATATACATTAATCACTGAATCACCAAGCCATGCTTAATTGCAAGCTGTATATCACACAAATCCATGGTAAGTAGAAGGAAACTCATTATTGTTGCTTCATAACTACTGGGTACTTCTCATTTTAACCTCCTCACACCTGGGACACTTTGTTGCTCTATAACAGGAATGCAGAAAAGGTATTACACCACTAATTACAGCCCACACCAGCACCCCCACCTGAGCTGCCTGAAAGAAAAACGGAACTGTCTCAGATCTGCAGCCATCCCAAGCTTCTGCCTCATTGCCACTAAGTGAGTTCTTATATGTGGCTTCCTGTAACCGCCCCCCTTCCCTTCCTGGGGACAACATGTTGAAATCTATTACTCCTTGAGAGTTTACAGAACTGTTTAAATGATAAAGAAAAAAAACCTGCAGTATATTTTGCTTTGACAAAATTATTGATTTAAATCCCATACAATAGCACAATACTATTTAAAGGTCAACCCAAGAAAAATGAGTTTACACCCAAACAGAGTTGAGCTTATCTGTCATGAAAGTGTAATGATGTGTTTATTCCCTCACTAGGGTGTATATATTTTTCAGGAAGATATAACAGTCTACTTGCAGGTGAAATCTGCTCTTAAATGGGAATTTCAGGAGATATTTACATTTCAGATGGTGGAGCTGATATCCAAAGCCCTGAGACCCATTTCTGTACTTACTAGTCAGGTGAGTATTTATTTTCATTGCCTAAAAATTATTCTTCTCACTCTCAGGTCAAAAACGAGACATACACTTGAAAACTATAACCACAACTCATAGGGGAATCTTTCAAGAAGGCTAAGGTTGCAAACAGAATGCAAAGGTTGCCATGATAACAGTCTCTTCTTATGTTTTGGTTTCTCTCTTACATTTCAAAAACATAGCAATAAAATGTTCTAAGTTCATTATGTCTGCAAATATTTGTTATTAATGAGTCTGTATATTTGTCTTTTTTATTTTTCAAAATACCAATTGATATATAATCTACCCCATTACTACCACCATCACCCATCCTCAGTTGACCTCTAAAGGAATTCAGACGCGGACCTCACTGGAATGGGGTAAAGGGGATGAGGCTTGATACTCTGCAACCAGGTCATAGCCCCTAAAGCAAACCTGGTCTATGGCCTCTCCACTGAACTCAGTTCAACCAACATTTATTGGGTGCCAGGTAATCTGCTGGTTGTGACAATACAAAACACACTACCTTCTCTCCTCTCTTGAAAAGCCTCAGTCATTAATCTGGCAGATGGACTGAGCACCCATTATTTGTGCCTGGTACTGTGCAGTGACTTCTCAGGGACAAGAAGTCTTACAGGGCCCACAGACACTGAATACACAAATACAAGTGGAAGAAATTTCTGTGGACATCCAGGATGCTAGGGGAGCAATATACACCAAGGGAAGCCAAACCAGTCAACATGGTTCAAGGAGGGGCTTCCTTATTTGACAAGAGACTTGAAGGATGCAAAGGCATCAGCTAGATGAAAATGAACAGGGTAGATCAAAGGAGTAGCAAGGGCCTGGGCAAGGACCCCAACACAAGACAGAATCTTCCACAGAAAAAAGAGTTGCATATGATATGTGATCTGGCTGAGGTTAGGAGTCACAAGAAACTCTTGCAAACAGTAAGAGTTCTGAACCTAAGAGGAGCCACTAGAAGATGCCCAGTTGGAGAGTGCCATGACCTGGGGCAATATGGAAACCAGATTAGAGGTAAGTAAAAGTTACTGTTGCAATTCCCCTCTAGGAGGCTACTGGAGCAGTGGGGTCAAGAACAATAGGGGTCAATGTCAGTGACCCAAAGAACAGCAAAGAAACTATCCTACTACTCCATCACCACCAGTGCATAAGAAGTACATTTTTAAAGACTAGCCTTTAGTTTTGTGTTGTAAAGACTGAGCCAATTAGGCTCATGATTCAGCTCATTGAGTCTGTTCCCCCTTTTCACAGGTGCAATCCAGTTTGTCTAGGGATTATAACAGTTCTGAAATTCTTATTATCTGCCTTCAGCACCCACCAGCTCACTGGCTATTTTCATTATTAGCTCTATCAAAACATGACCTGGAAGACAGATAGCTTCCAAATCCAGTTAGGATATTGCTAACACTTGGAGTGACGTTGTTTTTGTGTCTTTGGTCAGAAACAAGAGCAAAGCCATTAACTAAAACCACATCTGAATGCTGTCAACATTTTATTTATCCAGACATCAACTTGTTCCCTACCATCATAGGCGTTGGCACTTTGGTGGTCTAAAACTCAGTGAGTGTATGAATTTTATTTCTCTTCCAACACTGCTTACAGGAAAGAGGGGCTGGTGTTCAATAACCTTCTATTGTTGGCAGATCCTCAAAGCCTCTCACATTCAGACAAAATCCTAAAGCTTCCTGCCTTGTTGGGTGAGCTGCAGGAAGGCTGAGTCCATCCCACCATAACAAACCCCAAAACCGCTGACCACCCACTACTACCCACTACCACCACCCACTACCAGTCAACAAAGTCATACTCAGGGCAGGAATCTCCTCCTGCCTTCTCAAGTAATCCGTGGAATTACACTTCCTATTCCTCCTCATCCCATCCCAGCACTGAGATAGATGAGTCAACCCTACATGTTCACCACAAAGTGTTGCTTGTCCTTTCATGAAATTGTAAAACAGAGGCTACAACAAGCATACTTCACAAGATGGCAAAGTAGGAAGATCACCTACTTTGGAATCAAGCACACCTGGGCCCAGAGCTAAGCCACATCATCAGGGATGCTTTCCTGGGTCTACTGCTTAGGGATCCTCCATTACTTCATCATCCATCCATCCATCCATCCATGCATCCATCCATCCACTAAATAGTTACTGGATGCCTACCATGTTCCAAGAGTTTTCACATTTATCTTGTTTAATCATGACAATAATCCCTTAGAGCAAGTTGTCCAAAATTTTTTTAACATGCACCCCAACATATGTTGATTTATTTATAAATTATGCACACTATATCTTACCAATGTATTCATAAAGCATATTAAATAGGCATTTTAAGGATAGGAAAAAATAAGAGTATTTTAAAGGCAATTTTATTCATTAATGATGTCAAATCTTCTTTGAGTTTACCAAAAAACAGATACTGTATTTTACATAATTTATTAATCTTTTCATTACTGAGATGTTATACATTTATACCTATTTTTTTAAATGAGGGCTTAGCACTTGTAAGAGGCCAATATAAAAGTTTAGTTTTAATTTAATTTTAATGCTTGATTTTAATAAATGAGTCCTCAATTTTACAAGATACTTAAGTATCTGTATGGTATCTTGTGGCTACTGTAACAAATTAACACAAACTTGGTGGCATTAAAAAAAAAATGCAAAAATTTATTTCCTCACAGTTCTAGTTACCCAGAAGTACCAGTGGGCCAACATCAAGATGTAAGTGGGACCACACTCCCCTCAGAGGCTTCAGGAGAGAATCTGTTCCTTACCTCTTCAAGCCTCTGAAGTTTGGTGGAATCCCTTGGCTTTTGACCATACCACTCCCATCTCGGCCTCTCTGGGCACCATTGCTTTTTCCTTTTATGTCTATGTCTGGTCTTCCTCTGCCTCTGTTATAAATATTATAAGGTATTAAGTACCTTATACAATATAATCTCAATTATATTTGGGGTTATATTTAGGACCTCCTAAAATAACCCAGGATAATCTCATCTCAAAATCCTTTATTTAATTACATTTGCAAAGATTCTTTTTCCATGGAAAGTAACATTCATAGGTTCCAGGGATTAGAATATGATTCTTAGGACCATTATTCAGTACCACAGTACATATGAAAGAAACTGATCACTGAGCTCATTAAATCATGAAAATCTTTTTCAATCTCATGAACCAGTCACACTCAGATTATTGTTTAAATTCAGTGGGTAAATTTCCACATTCCTTGATGTCAATTACCCAAAATGTGTGGCAATTTTCTATTTTTCACGAATGAATTCAAAACCCACTAAAATTCTTCTTCTTGGGAAGACTTACATAGTTAGAAAATTCATTTTCCATTTTTTTCATGTGCAGAGATAAGCAATTTTATAGATAATACACCTAGACACAGTTTACAGCAAAGAGCTCACAGGATGATGGAAATCATTCCAAAAATGTTTTCAAATGTCCTCTCCATAGCATGAGTTTCTTTCATTAAGCATTTCTTAACTACATTTTTTGCCAGACATATCTGTTAGGATTTATATTTTTGCCAGGCATTAGGAACGAAAAAAATTAAGAAAGCTTTAGTTTTCCTGAGAGAAAAATGGAAAACTCATATTTATAATTAAACAAAACAAAAAAACACTTTCAAGTTCTTTCGCATTATATAGTCAAGGAATCTCTGTTGGAACAAAAGATTTTTGTACTCAATCCCCAACTTATCATCAAGTATAATGTAAAGGTTCTGTTATTCATTCAAAGATTCAGAGTCTAATAAAATTTTCAAAATGCTTAAGACAAAAAAAAGAGGGGAAGATATCACTAAGAACTTCTCTTCAAAGAGAATACCCAGGTGGTCTCTGTAACAGCCATTCACTGTGTATGGCGGGTGCACATGTGGGAGACACCTGCACCAAGTGAGAGCTCCAGTTCAGTCTAAGAATTAAACATTGACCCCGCTTATGTATTTCTCATTTTTAGGTTATAAAAATTAGTAACAAAATTCTAACACTCTCTTCCAGCATGCCAGTGGCTCTTATGAAATACTCTGGGCACAAGTTCCTTTCTCTAAAAACTGCTCTGAGTTACAGGTGAGTGTTCTTATTATACCGATGGGAAAAGAAGCTGAGAAAGGCTGAGGGGGTTGCCTAAAACAGCACAGGCAAGAGGAATCAGAGCCAGTGCCTGATCACATCTTCTGATTCTTTGTCTGGTTTCTATTCCACTGCCCTGTAACTCCTCTCCTCAAGAATAGAGTGGGGAAAGGTGATGAAGATAGCCAGAAGGGTGGTTCAAACACCAGTGCTGAAACCAAGCTGTCTGGATTTGACTTTGACTTCATGACATCCTAGCTATCTGGCTATATTAGACTCTACACCTCAGTTTTCTTATTTTCAAAATGAGGATAATAAAAGTATCTGTTCCAGAGGGTGATGGTGAGGAGGAAAAGAATTCATATCTCAGATGTTAGCCACACAATACCTATTTCGTAAGGCTGTTCTAAAAGCAAGCGACAAATACATACACCTATGCAGATATATGGGGACACACACACACACACACACACACACACACACACACTATACAGAAAGAGAGAAAGGGTCAGAGGAGGTACTCACATGTACCTGGCATATAACCATATAACTGATACTTAATGAAGATTAGCTTTTTCTTGAGCTTTTGTTAATTTTGAATGAACTATGAGGGTTACACAAAAGTCATAAAGCAGATAAGAGTCCTCTGTATGGGCAAGAAAGCATCTCTCTGATATAGTCACACCACCCTCTCCCTCATCTCCCAAAGACATTTGCCGTTTAAGAATCCAAGGCTGGGGTGCCTGGGTGGCTCAGTTGGTTAAGCGTCCAACTCTTGATTTTGGCTCAGGTCATGATCTCACGGTTTGTAAGCCTGCTTGGGATTCTCTCCCTCCCTTTCTCTCTGCCACTCCCCCCTTAACATGCACATGCACTTTCTCAAAATAAACAAACATTAAAAATAATAGTCCAAGGCCAAAACCTCAGGCTGATAATGCTTATATCCATAATCTGGGCCATACAAAAGCAACTAATTCTCTCCAGGTTGGAAGGTCCAACCTGGGTCTGCAGTGAAAATCATTTGAAAAGTATGATCGCTTATCTGTTAACAATAGCTAGTATTGTAGGGTTTTCTGTTTCCATCTAAAAATTTTGAGTCTACCTATCTGGCTTCAATGTCCAAAGCAGTAGTTAAAAATTAAATAAAAATAAACCAGGAGAAATGTCAACCAAAACTCTGTCTTCTGACTCTGCTGAGTCACAACCAAAGAGAACAGGCCACTGTCCAGACCCAATCACCATCTCCCTCACATCCTCAAAGTAAGCAGGATATATGTAAATCAATAAACATTTCATCCTGTGGAGTTCCTCTTGGTCTGACCTCCTTGTAGTGACTCTACTGAACATCCCATCATTGTCTCAATACTACCTTACACACCCTGTGTCTTATTTCTGGAATTTGATAAAAGCATTCAAATTCTAGTACTTGAAATAAAAATCAAGTGAGGGTTACCTTGGTGGCTCAGTCAGTTGAGCATCCAACTTCAGCTCAGATCAAGAATGATCTCACAGTTCATGACTTCGAGCCCCACATCAGGGCTCATTGCTGTCAGCCTGTCTGCGCAGAGCCCACTTTGAATCCTCTGTCCCCCTCTCTCTCTGCCCCTCTCCTACTCACCTCTCTCTCAAAAAAAATAAATTTAAAACTTAAAAAAAAAAAAGACTCAAGTGAACCTATAGCCTCATAACCAAACATCACCCACAGGAAAATATGATGGTGACTATGGAGTCTGGAAAGGGGAAGCCAAGAAGCTAAGCAGATCCAGAAGACTTGGACAAACTAAAAGCTGTCAGACTAACAACAGGGCAAAGGCAGGACTTGCGCACCAAGGCACACAGGTTTAGCAGCAATATGCAGAAGAAACTCAAGGTTCCCAAGTTTACCAGGTGAGAAAGACAGAATGAAGAAATTACATTGACTTCAAGTCAGGAAACTTGAGTTTGCATCTCTATTTTGCTCCTCTCTCCAATGCTGTATTCTTGGGGAAATTACCCTCCCCGGACCTCTATGTCCTCCTCTGTAAACGTCAGAGAGTTCATCCAGGTCACTTTTTATAGACTTTAAGCTCAATTATTCTAGACCGCTTCTGTCATCACCAATTTGTGTACTGTTAAGCCAATAATGCATTTCTTATGTTCAGAGAAGTTTTTATTAACTATCTGTTGTGCATAACAAATCTGTTATTAGAGCTGTTTTCCAAGTATGACTAGTCTACCCTCTTTGGATTCCAAGGTAAGAATGGAGCTTTGTCATCAATTCTGCCAATGAGCTGTGGTATATTTACTTGCCAACGCAAAACCCTTCAGAACACTTCCCTTTGGCTCAGTGTCCAGTGATATTCAAGATGTCAACTGCTCTGCCATCTTAAGTCCCTGTGTGACGAAAATGATCAGATTCTTTCTGCCAACCTACCATGTACAGGAAGCATAGCAAGAAATATATCCATATTGTTTTACATCTTTGAGATTCTGGAGTTAGTTGTTACTGCAGCCTAACTTAGCCAGACCAAACTGACACAAGCAGCAGTCTGAAATTAAAATTACTGTTATTCCCCTATTATTCTTGTAATTATGACCTATAATAAAAAATGTTTTGGGGGTGCCTGGGTGGCTCAGTTGGTTAAACGTCTGACTCTTTGTTTTGGCTCAGGACATGATCTTGTGGCTCCTGAGAAAGAGCCCCACATTGGACTTTGTACTAATGGTGTAGAACCTGCTTGGGATTCTCTCTTTCCCTCTTTTCTTCCCTGGCTCATCCTCTCCCTCTCCCTCCCTCCCTCTTTCCCTCTCAACGATAAACTTTTAAAAGAAATGTTTTTATAATTTTTTTTATTTCTCATGGTAAAGCAGGTATCATATACCTGAAGTTAATGACTCACTTGCCAAGGTAGATGTCTATTACTCCAACTTCTCAAGGGGTCTCCCGCAAAGAACGATGACCACCTCCAGTAGGAGTAAAGGTGGGAACACAGCAATCACACTTTGGCTGCATTCAGTATCAAGAAAAACTTAAGGAAAAAAAATTAGGCCACAGAGGCATATGACACAATATTTAAAAACAAAAATGGCTTGTTATAGGTAATGTGCTATCACAGGCTAGGACAGATAGATTTTGCTCACAGCAATCAAGTGAAAAGGAGCTATCTTCCATGGGGCTGTGAATGTGAATTATAAAAGACTTCAGTTCATGACTAGTGAAGAGAGGGGTACAGCTATAAAGAATTAGTTGATGGGGGCGCCTGGGTGGCGCAGTCGGTTAAGCGTCTGACTTCAGCCAGGTCATGATCTCGCAGTCCGTGAGTTCGAGCCCCGCGTCAGGCTCTGGGCTGATGGCTCAGAGCCGGGAGCCTGTTTCCAATTCTGTGTCTCCCTCTCTCTCTGCCCCTCCCCCATTCATGCTCTGTCTCTCTCTGTCCCAAAAATAAATAAAAACGTTGAAAAAAAATTAAAAAAAAAAAAGAATTAGTTGATGAGACTTTGTTGAAAGAGAAAGGGGAAAACAAAAAACAGACATGCAAGCTTAAAGATTAACAACAACCAAAAAAAAAAAGTTCTGGGGCAGAGGGGGCACCTGGGTGGCTCAGTCAGTTAAGTATCCCACTTCAGCTCATCATCTCACGGGTTCATGAGTTCAAGCCCTGCATCAGGCTCTGTGCTGACAGCTCAGAGCCTAGAGCCTGCTTTGGATTCTTGTCTCCCTCTCTCTCTCTGTCCCTTCCCCACTCACACTAGCTCTCTCTCTCTCTCTCTCTCTCCCTCTCAAAAATAAATAAACAGTAAAAAAAAATTTTTTAAAGCTCTGGGGCAGCAGAAATGCAGGAGCCTGTAAATGCATAGGGGATTTAAGAAGCAAAAAAGCTATATGGTTAAAAAATCTGACTTTCAAAAAGCATAATAAGAGGAAAAGGGTAAAGCAAAAGCAATTGTATTGTCATCAATTGATAATTTGCTATCTGAGACTTTGGGGGCAATAGTGTGAAGAACATTAATAAATACAATACTTAAGAAAACTAGGATTTTTTTTTTAACCCAGAGTCAAACTCTTATAGGTATTTCTTCCTTTAAAATAAGACACACCTCCTGTCTTGTTGGTTAATCACAGAACTGCTGTTTCACAGAGACACTGTCAGCATGACCTCGAGTCTCATCTACTCAATAGCCACCCATCGAGCACCAAATACACAGGCCTGACTAATAAGAGGCAAACAGTGGGCAAACTCACACAGTATGCAGATGCTGTGGTTCTCACTGATGGGAGGATGTGCCAATGAATTAGCAGTCAGACAGTGACTGTCATTGGTAATAACTTCTTATTATGTCAAGGAATTTACATGCAGATCAATGTGAGCAGTGTGTACTAGCTTATCCCCACCATAAATCACTATCGATTGGCACACCAATTCCTTGCCATAATTAGGAGCTATAGACAGGGCTGCAATATTATCTTAAAATATTGTGTCACTACCCTCCATATAACAGCTGGCATCTGCAAACCTCCCGTACTGCTCCTCTTACCATTGGCGACACTGCTTCAGTTGTTATTTGGGGTGAGAAGTGGGGGAGATAAGTGAATAAAATGTCCCTGTGTGCAATGTCTACTTGAGAGATTCCCTGTACCCTATTAGGGATTAAAAAAATGGGAATTCCTCCATATCCATATTGAATTCCTGTGTGCAAATGCGAAAGTTGGCAACATGCTGCTCTTAATCTGATTTATGCACCAATTTATTTTATACATTAGGCACACTCTATGCAGGCTGACTGATGCATAAAAATTTCATGCAAAAAAGGACTCACTCCCGTACAACTGCCTCTCAGTTATTATTACCTCTTGTGGTTCCCATCCTACGGTGGGTAGGACAAATGACTCCATAATACCAAATGCATTTTGCCCACTATACAAACATTTTGATCTGTTTCTATTTCCCCTCAGCTCCAACTCCAGAAAACTAAAAATGCTGTATCTTAACTTTCTGAAATCCTTTAATGCTACAAAACACCCACTTATGTAGAGAACTTCTCTCCATGTTCACTCTTTAACGGTGTATTATAAATATACAAACATACACAACAGAGGCAAAGAGAGACAGACACACACATACTCATGACACACCTGGGTATTTCTGGCTAATTTTTTTTTTTTTTTTTGGTTAAACATTTTTTTTTCTCTATAGATCATAACCACCATGCACTTTGCATTATTTTTCTAATTACCTTCCCAGGAATATGTTCTCCGGAATATTACTAACAGCAAAAATGCAAACAAACAAAAAAGCTTTTGGGGTAGGATTTTAGTTAGGGGAAAACCAGCTAGAAAAAGCATCTTTCTGTATTTTCCTTTTATTAGAAGTCTCCTTTCATCCAAGAAATATGGGGCCTGAAATAAATTGTATCATCCTGCTTTTTTTTATTCAAATCCTTGCCAGAGCTAGGCAGTATGCTAATGAAAACAGGTTGATAAATGACTCCCTGATATTTTCCAGACATTTTTCTCTCAGAAGTGCTCTAAACTGATGTAGCTCAAAGAGAATAAGGCGCATTAAGTCATTATATCAATTTTTGTTACCCAGATACTTCAGTCCCAGTTAAGCGCTGACAGCCAATATAAAACAAGGCAAGGGCATCATACGACTCCATCGATCAAATCTTGTCGTAGATAGATTGCCTATTACACAAATAGAACTAGCGGATTCAGTTTGTAGTTTTATGCTCTCCAATTAAAGGATAACAGGGTACTTTCCCATAAATCTGCTAATTGCAACTGAATTAATTTAACAAATTTCTCCAAGCACACAGGAAAAAGCGATTGGTTAAGCTAATGTAAACTAGCACAGGTTGTCACAAAGAGGTTCCCATAACATCCTTTTGCTATACCTTGATTGGGCAAGGTGTCACAAGTATTTAGCTACATTGTGGTTCTCTGGCAACAGACAGCTGACAAGCATAAAACATTGCACAAATAGGAGATAATTTATTTGTGGTACTTTTTTCTCTCCCTCACTCCCCACTCTCCCCCACCCGAAGGAGGAAATAACTCCCTCTTTGCATCTAATTAATGTTTCTCTCCAAGTGAAGCTGTTTTTCTAAATCAGAATTACACCAGCCAAAGCACTATATTACAGAAAGGGGTCCCTCCGCACCACTCAGCCAACAGTAGGAATGATGGGCAAAAACCACAACAGCTGCCTATTGCCTTTCAAAGGAGGAAGTAGCTCAGGGCTCCCTCGATAGAGCAGGGTGAATGCAACACAGGGTGCCCACTCTCACAAGTTCAAATATACAGGTAACGGTAGTAGCCCAAGTGCCAAAATCAAAGCAGATGATCCCAAGCCATAAAATAATGCATTGGAGTTGAATTCCTCAATTGCTGTGCTCAGCATTATGGAAACAAAGTTGTAATGACTATACAGGCACAATGACATTCCAGCAACACTCACCTGCCTCTTTTCCCTGTCCACCACTCCTGTCTCGCCTCACTCAGGGATTCAGGCATGCTGGCAATACTCACAGTGGCCTCAAAAAACTCAAGTTAAGGTACTCATGGGTGAGCTGAGGGTGAGGAAAAGAAAATGCATTTTCCAGGTTTGGTGAAATCGGTCCGATTTTAAATATCTAGTTACATTGTGCCCATATTTTTAGACTGGATATTTTCAATGTGAGCTTGCCAAATACTGTTGCCATATCCACACTTGGCAGACACTGTGTCCTGCCTCAAGGGGACACATTTCAGTCTTAGAAGGGGTAATGGAGCCCATGGAGAAGGACGAAGGTAATGGCATCGATAACCAGGACGATAGACTTGGTCAATTTAAACTAAGGTTGGGTGGGGCGCCTGGGTGGCTCAGTGGGTTAAGTATCCAACTTCAGCTCAGGTCAAGATCTCATGGTCCATGAGTTCGAGCCTCATGTCGGTTCAGAGCTTGTTGGTGCTGTCAGCTCAGAGCCTGGAGCCTGCATCGGATTCTGTTTCCCTCTCTCTCTGCCACTCCCCCACTCATACTCTGTCTCTCAAAAAATGAATAAACGTTAAAAAAAAATTTTTTTAATAAATAAACTAAGGTTGGGCATCTCCAGCACCACTCTCTTCTCTTGTGATTAGAGCTCCAAGCTTCCTTGCTACAGAAGTAGATTCCTTTTCACAGGGACAAAATCTCAGACTAGACCCTCTTTTCCAAAGCACATTTCTCATACCCTATTTATACATTTACGCTTCTGCTAATGAAATGAAGCCCTGCCATATCAGTCCAACTAGACAGTAAGTATTTGAAGACAAAAACCACGTGCATTTTAGACTATGGGCCCAAAGCAGCAGAACAATGCATGCTGCTTCTGGGAGTACAACATATACAGCTTTAAACTGGCTTAGTCAACTGGCCAAGAGGTAACAGGGTTCTGCAAAGGGAGACAGGGTGTGGGTTAACAAGTCCGGGTAGAACAAGTATAGGGTGTCAAATCCTATATACTATTAGTCTGCCACTTGGTACCTAACCAGAAGAGTCAAATACACACACACACACACACACACACACACACACACACACACACCAACAACAACAACAACAACAACAAAAGATACTTCGAGTAATAGGTATTTATGTAAAGATACTAGACCAAAGTCAGGAGACCTGAGCTAAGGCCCCAATTTGTCATTAACTAGTCATGTGATACTGGGA